AGAGTATACATTACCAAAACTATCGGTGATGGCACGTATAGCTAAGGATGTCAGTGATAGCACAGGCACTATAGCTAAGGGCATCAGTGATAGCAATGCAGCTAAGGGCATAAGTGATAGCACAGGCACTATAGCTAAGGGCATCAGTGATAGCAATGTAGCTCAGGGCATAAGTGATAGCACAGGCACTATAGCTAAGGGCATCAGTGATAGCAATGTAGCTAAGGGCATAAATGATAGCACAGGCACTATAGCTAAGGGCATCAGTGATAGCAATGTATCTCAGGGTCAGTGATAGCACTGTAGCTAAGGGCATCGGTGATAGCACTGTAGCCAAAGACATCACTGATAGCACTTTAGTTAAGGGCATCATTGTTAGCACTGTAGCTAAGGGCATCATTGTTAGCACTGTAGCTAAGGGCATCAGTGATAGCATTGGAGCTAAGGGCATCAGTGATAGCACTATAGCTAAAGGCATCAGCGATATCATTGGAGCTAAGGGCCTTAGGGATATCTACAAAAATAGACTTTGCAGCTTTTAAATGCAGATATTATATAGCGTGAAGGAGGTATGGGGTGGCTTATCATTTTGTTACATTGTGTCCTATGGGGTGGCTTATCATTTTGTTACATTGTGTCCTATGGGGTGGCTTATCATTTTGTTACATTGTGTCCTATGGGGTGGCTTATCATTTTGTTACATTGTGTCCTATTGGGTGGCTTATCATTTTGTTACATTGTGTCCTATGGGGTGGTGTTGGCAAACTAAAATGATATGCACAATTTTAAAAAAAAAATCTTTTATTATTATAGCAAAATTTCTGCTGTTCAATTATACTAAATTAGCAAAGGTTATTAAAAATTGAATGTATTTTTTGCTTTCAATAATTAGCACATTTTTAAAAATAAAATATCATCTCTGGCTATTTGCTTGTTTCTGATTGTTTTTTTGTTTTTTTTTAATTTTTAAATTTTTTAGTCGGTTTTAAGGGGTGTTTCAAAAAATGTCTGGGTGGATGGGGAATATATGTGTGTGCTAGATATGCCATATAATATAGAGGGTGATCAATGGAAATGTTATATAATGTTATAAGAGCAAGGGGTGGGTAAAAATTGACATGTTTCTCAATAGGTTAAATACGTATCTATCTCTTCCACCACACACACATAAAAAACAAAAGATTTGCACGCTTTCGGTTCAGCCGAAGACACAATATCCATTTACAGATGAACACTTGAAGCTTTTTGAGAAATTTTATCTTGGGGCTGGAGGTGACTGCCGTTTCTTGACCGCAAGGACATATACATCTTCTATCGTAAGCAATGGCGGCCAACTATCACAAGCTCTTCTTCTACAGTTCTGTTTATTATGATTATAAATTGTCGATAATCATGTCAAGTTCGTTTCATTCTGGTAGCAAATTGCAGATTATCGTGACAGAAACTGTTATAAAGTTGCAGATTATCGCGACAGACACTGTTATAAAGTTGCAGATTATCGTGACAGAAACTGTTATAAAGTTCCAGATTATCGCGACAGAAACTGTTATAAAGTTGCAGATTATCGCGACAGAAACTGTTATAAAGTTGCAGATTATCGCGACAGAAACTGTTATAAAGTTGCAGATTATCGTGACAGAAACTGTTTTAGACACAACGACAACAAACAAACAAAAAAGCTTTGAATACATTAATTTCTTGTAACTATTTTAACTTTAATTAAATAAAAGCTCATTACTGATCTGCAAAGAAAACACATTTTCGAAAAGATTGTGTCTAAATTTAACACACATAGCTATCAGTTTAAATATCTGTAACTGAAACAGATTTTGGTTTTTGGTATCTTTATTACAAATTTACCAAACTTCCTCCCCCCCCCCCCCCCCCCCCCCCCCCCCCCCCCACCCCCCCAGAATCCTGAACTATCTCTTCGCTAAAATCGTAAAACACAGAATTCTGTAGTGAAAGAAAAGAAATCTCTTAAACTCACACCACAGCTGGGAGAGAAAGAGGTTGCCTAGGAGCAGCACCCTCAAAAACTGTATATTTAGAATCACCGTTGACGGTCACCACGTTCCCTCACCTCATATCCACACGACAACTGTAATCATGTCCCGATCTGTTTCTACATTATTTTCGACTGTACTTGGTAGGAAACCATGCAGCCGTGCTCAGTCTGATGCAGTCTCCGTGCGTTACCTTTGCCTTCGAGCGCAGGTCCCTTACACCAGTGGTCCCCAAACGGCGGTCCGTGGACCTTCACCGGTCCGCATGCCTAACGCTGCCGGTCCCCATAACATAAATATTTATTGTCAAATAGAAGTAAAAGTATAAAAATAAATCACGCACCGGTCCCTGGTAAAATTTCGAAACGTGTTCACCGGTCCGCCGAACTTAAACGTTTGGGAACCACTGCCCTACACGGTGATCCTATTCCCAGGGCAACGATTCAAGGGGTTTGTGGCCAACGCCTCTTTATCGACATGCCAATTTTTGGGACGGACATGCCGACCTGGTGACTCCTACACTATATTTTGTGCAAAATGAAAAAAAAAATTATTCAACTCTCTCTATTTGAAGACAAGCATAGCTCTATTTGTTCACGTATTTTTTAGAAAAAAATAATAATAATAATGTATCTGTTATGAAAGATAAGATTTTCACTTCTGTGTCAAGTGATTTGACATTTTATATTGTCATCTGCATGCAAATGTTTCCACTCTCATGCTTTCCCACGCTTTATGTAGTTTCACGAGATGTTTGCAGTAAATTATTTAACATAAACATAGTGTTATCCTCATAGACAAGGGCCCGCCCTTTATCCTCGCCCCTGAACTCTATATTTGGGAAGATGGAAGCAAGTATCGTTGTCCCTAGCATCAAAGAAAATCTTCTCCATGCACTGTTTTCCCCTTACCAACTTTATTGAGTTCTGAGCCAACTGTACACCTGGTGTAAATGTGATTGAAGGGTGCCGTTATCCACATAAAAAATACACCCACCCTCCCCCACCTCCCCGTGAAATGAGTTTGGGGAAGAAGGTTTAATTAATTATTTAATTAGTTTCAAAACTGTCTACTAATCTCCCGATGTCCCCGTGGAACATATTTGGGTATTGCACGGTATGACTGTAACTGGGAGAGGGGAGTTTTGGGAAATTTTATAATGAGCGCCTGTAGAGTGTCTTTTACACAAAACACACACACACTCACACAGAGGTACCTATTTGACTACTAGAACTCTAGCATTAAATGTGCATTAAATTTTGTTTTCAAATTGATCATTGTAGCCGGTCATATACATAATAATTGATAGTAAAGAATGCCGAATCTCAGATAGTAACAATACTTTGACACTCGCATTCAGATGAATTAATTAAAAAATAATTCTGTAAATATTATATGAAATGCGAATCTAATTTATTATATAATACTTGCATAAAATAGATTACTTTACTCGAAACAAAAGGCAGATTTTAGAAATTAGATTGAAATTGTTTTGATTGCCGTAAAATCAATACAAAAATCAGTAAAATTAGTGTTGTAAGATTGGAAGTTTATGTTACTCGCCTGCGGGAGACAACTTTGCTTGCCGCTTCTGGGCACGCTTTCAGAATTTTATTTTTCGCGCGTATGGACAGAGCGGACGCTCAACGACACTGTCTCATTCTTATAATCCTTTATATTAACCTCGCTTTTTGTTCGTGGGTGGCGAAATCTTCGAACGGCTTATCGACCCCACTCTCCGTCAACCTATCGAGCTGAAACTTGGCACATGGATTCGTTACTGATGACAGCTCGCTCTTTCCAAATTTTCAAAATTTACACAGTAGAAAAGACTTACGCGAAAAAACGTTGTTTTTGGTGGTTGTTTAGTGAGCATTTACTTAAAGAGAACCCGCACTACATTGCCGTTCATTGTATTTGTCATTTCTGTTCATTGTATTTATCACTTCTGTTCATTGCATTTGTCATTTCTGTTCATGGTATTTGTCACTTCTGTTCATTGCATTTGTCATTTCAGTTCATTGTATTTGTCATTTCTGTTCATTGTATTTGTGATTTCTGTTCATTGTATTTGTGATTTCTGTTCATTGTATTTGTCATTTCCGTTCATTGTATTTGTCATTTCCGTTCATTGTATTTGTCACTTCTGTTCATTGCATTTGTCATTTCTGTTCATTGTATTTGTCACTTCTGTTCATTGCATTTGTCATTTCAGTTCATTGTATTTGTCATTTCTGTTCATTGTATTTGTGATTTCTGTTCATTGTATTTGTGATTTCTGTTCATTGTATTTGTGATTTCTGTTCATTGTATTTGTCATTTCTGTTCATTGTATTTGTCATTTACGTTCATTGTATTTGTCATTTCTGTTCATTGTATTTGTCATTTCTGTTCATTGTATTTGTCATTTCCGTTCATTGTATTTGTCATTTCTGTTCATTGTATTTGTCATTTCCGTTCATTGTATTTGTCATTTCTGTTCATTGTATTTGTCATTTCTGTTCATTGTATTTGTCATTTCCGTTCATTGTATTTGTCATTTCTGTTCATTGTATTTGTCACTTCTGTTCATTGCATTTGTCATTTCTGTTCATTGTATTTGTCATTTCTGTTCATTGTATTTGTCATTTCTGTTCATTGTATTTGTGATTTCCGTTCATTGTATTTGTCATTTCTGTTATTCTTTTGCAGTTTAAAAGGATACAAATATTTTTATTTCATTGTTCAGTAAGAAAATTCCTAAGATAAGAAAACTGCCCCCAGCCTCAATCCCCACTCCCACCTTAACGCCCCCCCCCCTTTTCACACACACACACACACATTCACACACACATTCACACACACACACACATACCTGTCCAAGCCAGTGTTACCCCCATGGACTAAACTTTCTCTTTGTGCTTGTCTTGCAGATAGCAACGGGATTTTACGTAAACAGTTGCAATCCCCGAAGTCACGGATCCAGAGAGGGGGGAAAAAAAAAAGAAAAGAAAAGAGAGAATAACTGAAACCTGCACCTGAACCTGTCGGATAAAAGGAAGACTCGACACAGGCTCGGGTTCAAAGTACAGGGGGAAAGTTGATAATTTCAATGTTGATAAACCCACCGGGCCCAGCAACACTTTGAAGAATTGAGACAAATGAAAACCTTGCGGAACTATCAGCGAATTTCCATCTCTCGTATCGCTCAGCACCCTGTTCACGTACAAAATAACAAAATAAATTGATATACAGAATGCAGAGAAACATGAACGGGATGGTGCGTCAATACAATTTGAACATTACCAGAAGTTCTAGATAGAGAGACGGTAGCGAGGGTCGTGTACGTTACTTGGCTTGCGTGCAGGAGACTTGCCAGGGCGCCCCTGCAGTGCTCGGGGGATTAGAAACCTTGTCTAAATACAAGCGCCCCTCGCCAGTGTCAGTCGAGCTGAAATAACCCGTTATTGTTGTGCGGGCCATGAGCCGAGCTTACCTTACTGTAGACTCGTGGAACAGGGGGAGAGACGGTGGTGGAGGCGAAGGGGGATCAGGGCGAGATAAAAGGAAAAGAATAATGTTCCTGCGGGGAGCCCAGGTGTGGGTCAGACATCCAGTGAAACGTTGTGCACGAGGACAGGGGAGGGGGGGAAATTGATTTGGTGAATTTAATGTTGGCGAACGCAGTCGGTGGTGGTGACGTCAGCAGAGTAGGAAGTCGATTCGCGGTGACATCAAAGTGATACTCGTGGTCAGAGTGACACATCCGGTCACGGCGATACATCACTCACGAAGTGACGGTCAGTGTGGTACGTCCCCAGTAAATGGAACATTTGGAGTGTTACAAATGTGAATGAAAATAATTGTGTGACAGTGACGGAAACAATTGGAACATGTTAAGCCTGCTGTTAAACAACTCAACCGAATTCTCCCTTAACATTACACATCTTCAATGCTCTGAAAGTGACCAGACCACGTGTGTTAGTTCGACAAAGCTTTGCACTTGTAGAAAGCAGTTAGACAAAGATACCTCAACATTATCGTCACCAACAGCACCTCTGACATTATCGTCACCAACCCTCGGCCAATTCTTGAAGTCGTGAAGTAAAAAAAAAAAAAATTTAAAAAAAAAAGATTTAACGCGTTCTCTCCCCCGTACCTCCCATTAACAACTCGTGGGAACCGGCCATTATTTCCTTGTAGGTTTGTTCTCTCCCCCGTACCTCCCATTAACAACTCGTGGGAACCGGCCATTATTTCCTTGTAGGTTTCATGAACCCGCGGCCTCACCCAACAGCCCTCGCTTTGATTGTCTTCGTCTTTTGATCCATATTCATGAGCGGAGACCCCGAGATCAGACTTTAGCGGGCCAGGAGTTGACAGATGTCCTGACTTGGATAGGAGGGTGGCCCTGAGACGCGAGGACAAGGCTTTCTATTCTAAACAGCTGGGACAGTGCAGGAAAACAAAAATCCCTGGCAGTGCCACGGGAATGCGTCACGACTGAACAGGCCCTACTGACAACATGAACCTAGCCTAGGGGGGAGATATTATTGTGTATCGGCGAACAGTTACCCCAAGCTGTACGGGACGTCAAACCTGCTTACTGTGAAAATATCCGAAACTGTGATTAAAAAATAATAATAATAATGTCTCAACGATCAACTCCGTGGCTTAGCTGACGACAGACGAGTGATTACACTCTGTGGGTATCTGCTACAGGCACAGCGGTGCCTAAAGCTGGCCTAACAGACACGTGTTTTCCCATATAGTGTTACCCAGCGTTTCAAAGGAATAAAGGAACGAGTCCATGGTGATATTTTTCCCCCCTCAAGTTACCATCAAGCTGGATACATGCTCGCTGTGATAATCTAGGAGGATCATCCATCGTGTTTTCTCTCAGTGTGGCGTGGTTCATTGGACCCACTCCTAGAGATCGTCTGGCTGTGGACCCATAACTCATCAGAGGTGATCACACCCCCAATCCCACACCCGGAGGGAGCCGATGACGTCAGGGTCACGCTTCTGGTGATCTCCCTCCCACGCGAGGGTATAGATACACCTCTGACTAAACAAACTCACAAGACACAACAGCGAGAGTAACCCGGAATAAGTCAGACCAGGTTCTACAGGAAAACATTGACGTTCCTACCTGACCTTTTCCTTACTCCCAGAGGCAAAAGACTTACGGTTAACCTAACCCCCACATCATCCAGGTTTCAGTGCATCTTCAACCTCCCCCCCCCCGCCCCCGAACCCACAGCACCCCGACCACCCTAACCTTCCCAATTCCTTTTGTAGTCTGGCTTCCCCCCTCCCCCTTTTTTGCCCAATGCCCTGAAGACTTTAATATATATATATATATATAAACAAACGCTCGGGACCAGGAGCACGAGTCGATGATAGTACAGCCCTTGTTATTCCTCGCCTGCTGACATTATTCAAACTGCTTGACTGGGCCCTGGTAACCCACCCCGCCCCGACCACCCTACCCTTCCCAATTCCTTTTGTAGTCTGGCTTCCCCCCTCCCCCTTTTTTGCCCAATGCCCTGAAGACTTTAATATATATATATATATAAAAACAAACGCTCGGGACCAGGAGCACGAGTCGATGATAGTACAGCCCTTGTTATTCCTCGCCTGCTGACATTATTCAAACTGCTTGACTGGGCCCTGGTGGCTGGCACCGCTGTTGTTTCCTGTCTGACATTCACACAGGTACCCGCCTCCAGCCCTCGACTGACCCTCCAGATGGCTCTCGCACCATCTGACGCTCCTCGTCCGTCCCGGGGGGACGCTGTGTGATGAAACGAAACGTCGTCACCCCCCACTGCACCGGGGGCCCTCCACCCGCCTTTGATCTCTTGGCTGGGGGCCCTGATTACCCTGACACCATTGTTAACCGTTTAATCCATATCCAGCAGTTAGGCCCTCAACTCATTGACGTGTCATTTCATTGCGTACCCCCCTTCCACCCTTGTTTTTCTTCCTCTACTGAAGCGTCAATTTAAAAAAAATATATATATATTTCTAAGAGTGAGAAGATCGTCCCAGCAGGAAGTGCCACGAAGTCTACACGCTACAGAAGTCGGATGTGCGAGGAGTTAAGGGTGGAAACCCAACACGATCACATTTCTACAAAGACTCGTGGGGGTGAACGTGTCCCCAACAAAGCGCTCTTTCCACGAGCTGAACTCTTGATGATGAGTAATGAGCGCCAGTTTTGTTTTTGTTGCCCTCGGTCTTAAGCTCCCGCGGTTCTTTACGTCCGGGGAACTACAAGAGACGGGAATTTCAAAGCTTGATGGGAAATTTATCATTTACTTTTTTTTTTTTTCCACCCTCAACGTTGTGTTCAGTTAAAAGACGCAGGAGTTGAATTTTTCTATCAAGGTCTTAAGCTCCCGCGGTTCTTTACGTCCGGGGAACTACAAGAGACGGGAATTTCAAAGCTTGATGGGAAATTTATCATTTACTTTTTTTTTTTTTTCCACCCTCAACGTTGTGATCAGATAAAAGACGCAGGAGTTGAATTTTTCTATCACAGTGCAAAAAGGAAACTGAAAACCTGGGTTTGAAGAAACCACACGAGCTAATGCCCCTGAAATGAACATTTGTAAGCGATTGCTATGTGATAATTTTTTTTTTTTTAAATGTGTGTTTAGCAAATGTACGAAACTTACTTTCAATGGTTTCGGGAAATGAAACCCGGAATTCGTGGATTAGACATGGGATAATTTATCCACTATGCCTGTTATCGATATCCGTAGACACATCCCCGTGAACGTTGGATATATAAACATAACGATGGGGGCACCGCCGGTTCTGACGCCCCCTGAGTGGGACCCGTCCTTCCACGGATCCGTCCACACGGCAACGCTGGCGGTCTGCACGGTGCTGGTCATCTTCGTGGTCATCTTGGGCACCTTCGGAAACGGCATGGTGCTGCTGTCGGCGTTACAGTGCCGGAAGCTGCGGTCCAACTTCGACGTGCTGGTGTTCAACTTGGCAGGTGCCGACTTCATCATCTGCCTGTGCCTGTCCCCCACGTTCCTGTACCTCTTGTTTTCAGACCCGCCGTCGCCTCGGGAATTCTGCGGGGGGTTCCTTTTCGCGTCCACCACGTGTGGTCTTTTGTCTCTGCTGACACTCGTGGCCATCGCGGCTCACAGACAGTCCCGTATCCGAGGCAGGGTCAAGGGCGCGCTGAGCACCGCCAAGACGGCGTGTGTCCTCGTCGTCATTTACGCAGTAGGAATCGGCACGGCGGTCGGCGGAACGATGCATGTGACCTTCGCGTGGTCCGACTCGTACACCACGTGCCAGGCGGTCATGAACAGCAATGACATCATGAGCAATAACGTGATACTGTTTTTCATCAGTCCGGTTGTCGTCATCAGTTTTGTAGTCATCGTCGCATCGTACGGCGTCATAGCCAAGGCCGTTAAGGTACAGACGTACCTACGGGTCAAAGCCCTCCAGCCCCTCCTCCGTCCCGCCATGTACAAACAGATGCCAACGACCAGCATCGGCGAGAAGCCGGGTCTGGCCTTCGACATGCAACAGATCCTCGTGGACAGCAGAGCCCTCTCGGGGAAGGTCACGAAGAAAGCCGAGGTGCTGAAGCACTGCTCTTGCTGCAGCTGCATGGCCGCGCTGGACAAGGAGAACAAAGCCGTCACCATGTGCTTCGTGGTCATTTTGATCATCGCCCTATGCTGGACGCCCCTCGTCGTCTCGCACTTCATCGAGCTGGTCACCGGCGAGTCGATCATCCTTTACCAGGTCAAACTCTGCGGGATCGCCCTCGTTTTCCTCAACAGTGCCCTCGATCCGTACATGTACGCCCAGAACAGCGGGCGCATGAAGCAGCGGTACGGGCGCTTCTTCTGGGACATGCTGCGGTGCGAGTGCCATCTGCCGCAGCGACAACGTTTCAGAACCTTGTCCGGGAAGTCGCCAGGTACGAGAACACTTAGAAACCCAATCATAACCCAGGACTGTGCCACGTTGCAATTTTTACATCCAAAACTTCGGAAAACAACTGTGTCCAAGAAATGTGACAGCGTTAATTTAAAACATACCAGAGACAGGAACCGGACGTTGGTCAAGAGCGCGTACACTAACAATATTCTCATGTTTGGCACCGGTCAGAATGTGATCACGCCAAACCGTAAGCGCCTGGAGGTTCGAGAAGCCAAGAGGACGCATGCACAGAATGGTGTCATGAGTGATGTCAGGACACTGGTGCATAAAACATGCTGCCACGCTGCGCATGCGCCGGATGATCAAAGTTTGATTGACTCATGATCGAAGGAGCTCGGGGTAGATTGACCCCGCCTTTTTTTTTCTTTTTTTCTTTTTGGATTGATTGCACTCGTGTGATATCATGGGCGTGAATGAGAGACGGGGTGCTGTCTGTCCGCACATTGCAGATCTGCTCGTCATGTAAATATGGGGGTCGCCGCGTGAGCATCACACACGAGGCTGCTCGAGGGTGGATGTTGTGTGGTTTGTTCATGAACTGATTTAAAGTTGAGGTTTGAACATGAATGCGATCTAGACACGGCTTTACCGACAACGAACTGAGTGCGAGAGGAGAGGGGGTCTCATTATATAATGACGGGTGTACGTTGTTGGGAAAGGGGGGGGGGCGAAAAGCAAAATTTGCAGAGATTTGAAACTTCCCTGATGTGGCTAAAAAAATTGTGGAGCGCTACACACTAGTAAGGGTTGGTTGTCATGGCTACGCCTATGGAAAGGTGTAGAGAGTCAGTAAATGTTTATCATGGCTACGCCTATGGGAAGGTGTAGAGGGTCAGTAAATGTTTGTCATGGCTACGCCTATGGGAAAGTGTAGAGGGTCAGTAAATGTTTGTCATGGCTACGCCAATGGGAAAGTGTAGAGAGTCAGTAAATGTTTGTCATGGCTACGCCTATGGGAAGGTGTAGAGGGTCAGTAAATGTTTGTCATGGCTACGCCTATGGGAAGGTGTAGAGGGTCAGTAAATGCTTGTCATAGCTACGCCTATGGGAAAGTGTAGAGGGTCAGTAAATGTTTGTCATAGCTACGCCAATGGGAAGGTGTAGAGAGTCAGTAAATGTTTGTCATAGCTACGCCAATGGGAAAGTGTAGAGAGTCAGTAAATGTTTGTCATGGCTACGCCTATGGGAAGGTGTAGAGGGTCAGTAAATGTTTGTCATAGCTACGCCTATGGGAAAGTGTAGAGGGTCAGTAAATGTTTGTCATGGCTACGCCTATGGGAAGGTGTAGAGGGTCAGTAAATGTTTGTCATGGCTACGCCTATGGGAAGGTGTAGAGGGTCAGTAAATGTTTGTCATGGCTACGCCTATGGGAAAGTGTAGAGGGTCAGTAAATGTTTGTCATGGCTACGCCTATGGGAAGGTGTAGAGGGTCAGTAAATGTTTGTCATGGCTACGCCTATGGGAAGGTGTAGAGGGTCAGTAAATGTTTGTCATGGCTACGCCAATGGGAAAGTGTAGAGGGTCAGTAAATGTTTGTCATGGCTACGCCTATGGGAAAGTGTAGAGGGTCAGTAAATGTTTGTCATGGCTACGCCAATGGGAAAGTGTAGAGGGTCAGTAAATGTTTGTCATGGCTACGCCAATGGGAAAGTGTAGAGGGTCAGTAAATGTTTGTCATGGCTACGCCTATGGGAAGGTGTAGAGGGTCAGTAAATGTTTGTCATGATGGTTACGCCCGATGCAGAAGTGTAGACTAGAGGGTCAGCAAAAGAGGTTATTATTTCAACTATACCTGGATTAGAGGATATATATATATATTCTATACATAGCTAACACGTTATATAAAATAATTTATACATTAAAGCCAGCCATTTTATGAAACATTACCTTCCTCGTGTTCAGATTTTTGTAGGACTTGTCAACAGGGGAAACTATTTTACTGATCAACAATAATTGAATAATTTTTTTTATTTATTTTTTTGGGTGGTGGGGGGGGGGGGGGTTAAGGGTTTGTGTGTGTGTGGGGGGGGGGGGGGGAGGAATCAGTCATCAAAGATAATCTTTAGACCTATTTTTCCCAGGTAAAAGAAGGTATCATAGTTGTTGTTTTTTTTAAACAACATCTTTGTTTGATAATGTTATAACTATTATTAATTATAATCAAAATGTAACACTTCCCGTGTCTCCACAACCATGTGCTCATTAATGCAAGACTAATTGATCAATTAAGTTCGCTATAGTTTAACTGGCATTATTTACATAAAGTAGCCGTATAGTGTGTGTGGGTGTGTGTCTGTGTGTGTGTCTGTGTGTGTGTGTGGGTGGTTGTGTGGATGTGTGTGTGTCTATGTGTGTGTGTGTGACTTCACCCTTCATATCCGTAGTCAGACTAGTTAACTGTAAGGAAATCCACTGCTCTGCTTATGTAAGTTAACGCAAAAATATATATATATAAATATATACAGGATATAGTCCTGCAATTTGTTTCTTAAGCCTGAGAAAAAGTCTTTTAGGCAAGCACACTCGCAGTTAAGTATTAACGACGCATTTCTCTAAAAGATAATAATATTCTGGTCGGTTTACAGAGATCGGGACCGCCAAAAGCGAATCACAGTTATTCCTATTCGATTGCTTACAGTGTTAACACCAAATACATGCGTTAACGTTTTACTGAAAGCAACCCAATTAGTTATTTTTTTAAATTTAAAATTAAACAAACAAACAAACAAACAAAAAACTCTCAAAACAGTATTATTTTTTTTACATTCGTCGTAGTGCCGTAGTCTTAGGCTCGTCGTAGTGCCGTAGTCTTAGGCTCGTCGTAGTGCCGTAGTCTTAGGCTCGTCGTAGTGCCGTAGTCTTAGGCTTGAAAACGTAGTTAGTACGGCGAAAGCTTAGGGGGAAAACCAGGTCTGCCGTATTGTTAGCTTTATGTATCCAAATTATTGGGAAGGACTTGTTTGATTAAACACGGGCAGGTGGGTAGGCAACCTGTGCGGCGCGTGGTACCGGCCATTAGGCAAGGGCAGACGGGCGTGGGAGTGTGGAGTAAATAGTCCTGCCATGTTTAGCTTACCACTCTGGCACACTCTTTGATCATAAATGATGCTTCTCATTTAGTTTATTCTCAATGATAAACATTTGTTAACAAACACACTGTTAACTTCATAGGGGCGAATATATGTAACATACCCGGTATATATGGTATTATATATATATATATATAGTGGTTTGTTTCGGTAATTACACTCAAATGTTTGTTTCCCGGTACGCTGAGCGCCACATGGCGACCATTGGGTATCGTACCCAGCTGAGTCACGAGGGGAATTCAATCCATCAAAATATGTTTTCCTTCGGTCTACTATTTACGAAACACTGGAATGAAACTTTGTTAAGGTTAAATTTCGAATCAGGGGCCTAAAAAAAAACTAAAAATAACCCCGATAGTGCACCCCTTCGGTTTAAACATTGAACAACAGCGCTAGACGTGTGTTACGGCACAGTTGCGGCACAATTCTTGACTTGGCAATACTTCAAAGAGTTGATATTAACACAATTCTTGTTTGGTCCTAGTTTGGGTGGGGGAGAATGTAAATGGTGTCAGAGGAGTCAGTGTGTAAACGGCGTGAGAGGAGAGGAGACTATATGTAAACGGTGTGAGAGGGTCAGTGTGTAAATAGTGTGAGAGGAGAGGAGACATTATGTAAATGTGTGAGCGGAGTCAGAGCGTAAAATGGTGTGAGAGGAGACATTATGTAAATGGTGTGAGAGGAGTCAGAGCGTAAAATGGTGTGAGAGGAGGCGTTATGTAAATGGTGTGAGAGGAGACATTATTCAAGTGGCCTAAATCTACACCAGAAAGAAAAGCCAAAAGTAAAATGGTTGGTGTCCATCAATTGGTGCCATGAAATTAATGTACAATCTCTAGCCCTTGATTGTTCCATTGCTGACCACACGGCTTTAACAGAGCAGACATCATTTTTTTTTTTGAGTTCTTCAACATGGAAATGTTGGTAGAAAAATATATGTGAAAAGAAACAATAATTGTTTGAACGGAATGAAAATATGTTTGTTTATAAATAAATAGGCATATGAAGATATACATTTGTATCAAATTTATGCTTGTAATGAAAATATATGTTTGTAATGAAAATATTTCTTTTTAATTAAAATATATTATGTTTGTATGAAAATTTTAAAAAATTATGTTAGTGTTTGGACTGACCGCGTCTGTATATTTATTTCAGGCTGTTTGTGTTTGTTTATTTATTTAAGGAAACAATGACAGTTTGTGGAGGCTAAAGGTCTGATGATTTGCAGATGTGCGTGTGTGTGTGGTGGCTGCACATATGTGGTGGGTGCGCTATGGTAGGTGGTTGTCTGATGTCCACCGGGTGTAATGTGCGGTGGGTGGCTGTGCAGTTTTCCGAGTGTGTGGTATGCTAAGGGGTGGTAATGCAGGTGTGCGCCTGTCACGCGCATGTTCACCTGTCACACGTGTGTTCACCTCATGCAGGTATGTATCGAAATATATATGAGCGCGGGGTGAGTACTGCGGGAATGACGAGCGATATCGCTGTATCAGTTTGCGAGCCTGTGAACGAGCTGTGGTGTCTATACCTACATAAATAATTCATGCAGGTATGCTGCCTGTCATGCTTTTATTAAACACATTGATTTCACACAATAAAATCACAAATTGAAATTATTTCGTTTTTCTTTGTTAAGTCTTCTTATTGATATAAATGCATTAAGCCCTATATATTGTTCACTCCTTTTTATAACGGCGTGTGTACACGCTTGTATCACTGGGTATCAACAGAGCTGAAGAGCTTATCACTGGATACACAGATTCGGTGTTTAAGGACATTTAAATTTTTAATCTGAGAAAATATATGGACGGATATTTTTATTGTTTCGTCGTCTGCTTCTTCTTTGCAGTGTCATCTCCCAGTGGGGCATAGGTCATTAACAATTACTTTCTTAGCCTTCCGGTCAAGGGTGCCTAGCAATTCTCTTCAACTCTTTCCCATCTTTATTACATTCTTGTCGACATCTCTTGGCCTGTTTTTTTTAATTTTTTTTACGGGACCTTCCTCTTCCTTCTCATCCTTCAGGGTTCCCTATCCAGTGCTGGTATTGTTATATTTAGCGTGGGCTTTCTCAAGATACGAGCTAGGCAGTCCTACTTCTTTACCTGATATCTTGCTCCAGTCATTTATCTAACTGTTGTGCCTGTGACTTTGTGGAAGCACTTGATGTCTGTGACTTTATTGTAGCACTTGATGTCTGTGACTTTGTGGAAGCACTCGATGTCTGTGACTTTGTGGAAGCAATTGATGATTGTGACTTTGTGGAAGCAACTGATGTATGTGGCTTTGTGGAAGCAATTGATGTCTGTGACTTTGTGAAAGCAATTGATGTCTATGACTTTGTGGATGCACTTGATGTGTTTGACTTTGTAAAAGCACTTGATGTTAGTGACTTTGTGTAAGCACTTTATGTTTGTGACTTTGTGCAAGTACATGATGTTTGTGACTTTGTGTGAAAGCACTTGATTTTTATGACTTTGTGGAAGCACTTGATGTTTATGACTTGTGGAATCACTTGATGTTTGTTACTTTGTGGAAGCACTTGATGTATGTGACATTGTGGAAAAACTTGATTTCTATGACTTTGGGGAAAAACTTGATTTTTATGACTTTGTGCAAGCACTTGATGTTTGTGACTTTGTGGAAGCACTTGATGTATGTGACATTGTGGAAAAACTTGATTTCTATGACTTTGGGGAAAAACTTGATTTTTATGACTTTGTGCAAGCACTTGATGTTTGTGACTTTGTGGAAGCACTCATAGTTTGTGACTTTGTGGAATTACTTGATGTTTGTGACTTTTGTGCAAGCACTTGATGCTTGTGACTTTGTGGAAGCACTTGATTTTTGTGACTTTGC